AAGTATGATGAGGAAATATGTCTATACTAAAGATTGACAATTACATGGATTATTATTATTTTATTTATTTATTTATTCATTCATTTATTTTTGTATTTCAGGGAAAAGTCCATAGGGTATTCAGTGTCTCACTACTAGTTCGGACTCATAGAGATTCTCCTGTTTACATCTTCCCAAATCCTGGGATTACAGGTGCACGCTACCACGCCCAGTCTCAATTGCTGTCTCAGCACACCCCGGGGGTGGGGCCTGCACGGCAGGCCTGGGGTCTAACCACCGACCTCTGCGCCTGCTTACAAGTGCTTTAATACACTGACCTATTTGGCTGTCTCGAAATGGATAAATTCTTATGGAGGTATAGATTAGAAAAACATTTTATCTGAAATGTGAAAGAAAACTTAAATATAGTGAAAAAATTTCACAACAAAAGCCACATCCCAATGGCTTCACTGGAGAACACTTTGAAATATTTGAAAGACAAAATATTAATTTTTCTCAACTGTTTTTAGAAAATAGATGAAGTATTCATCACTTAATTTTGTGTCTTGGTTGTAAAGTCAATCAAAAAATTTTACAATAAGGAGTACAGACATTTTATAAATGTGGACACAAAAATTACTTAAAATATTAATACAGTGCTAGCAACACATTACAAAGATCCTACTCAGTGACCAAAGAGGAGCTCACCTATATATGCAAAACAGCAAAAGAAATAAAACTAAATGATACACTCATTTTCATAGTTTCAAAATTAGCATTTGTCAACATCCTACATCCATACATTACCAAATCACACAAGAAATAATAAACAAAAGGCAATTTGTTTGACTCAACAAGCTGCATGTATAAAAAACTTTAGAAAAAATAATAGCATGTTGAAAAGTAAGACATTTTCCCTTTCATGTCAGACCCAGGATAAGAATGTTTTCATCCTTAACACTGCCCTTTGATGTTTCCCCAGTGCAGCCTGACTAAAAACTCTTTTGAAAGAAGGTACCCAAATAGAAAGTCATCTCTTTTCAATGAACCCTTCTGAAATTGAAATAAGTTCTCTGATAATTTGTTTTTACAGGAACAAGTAAATAAATATGGAGGTGAAAAATACTAGAAACATGCTTAAGAATTGTGGCATTACTCCTTAGGGTAGTTTCCTTCTGCTGTGAGTACACGACATCTCATTCACTCACAGTTCTAGTGCTTAGCACAGGGTTTGCCTGGGAAGCACTTGGAGATGTCAGCGAGAGAGCGGACCCTTGGTTTCTGCAGCTCTTCTAGGCTCACCAGCCACACGGTGACCACAACTCAAGGGAAAGCAAGCAGAAAAGGGAAATGAAAGCAGAAACTAACGCTTTTGTGACCTACGTGAATTACAATAGAATATTTCTCCCACAAGTTAACCAGGACAGTCCTGAGCTGCACTTCAAATCCAAGGGGAAAGAGAAAGAATAGTGTTCAGGAAAGGAGTGTCAGTCTCACTGAGGTGGCCATCCCTGGAAATTCAACTGAGAGTTGTCTTTTACCACTAGTAAATGCACTTAAAACTTCCAATACATCCTAGAAAAGTGAAATTTTATAGCTGAAAGAGACTTCACATAAACTGATAGCTTCCATGCTATTCATTTTATTGCCGAGTGCTTTCACAGTAAGCAAATAAAAGGCAACAGTTTTACCTACACTGATGTTTATGAGGTCTCCTGGGAATCCACATAAAATTAATTCGATGAAATACCCTACGAATATGAAACATGTCTAGACTTTACATCTTTAAATATCTGGATAGAGTTTAGAAAAATTGGGGCACAACCGTCCCTGTAATTTGCATAGGGGTAAAACAAGAATCTAGATGTCCACAGTGAGCCCCTCCCTGCCGAGATGCCACTATTAAAGTCCTCTACAGACCTGTAGACACAGGGGCACAGCCTTACATCTGTCCACCAAGGTGAAGAAGCCGCACTTCAGGGAGTCAAGATTATAATTCATCCCGGTACCATGCTGAGAGGCTCTCCACTTACACTGGAGGATCAAGGTCGTTTTACATAGTAGACACTCAATAAATATTAATCAAACAAGAGAATATTTCTAACAACCAAATAGAAATGTAACTGAAATTTTAAGAAACTATAAAGTCCTAACAAAAGCAATAGTCCCATTGTAGTAAAAGATGCTAATCCTTCTTGTTACTTTTTAAATGAATGATATCAACTTTTGAACATATATAGGAGATAAAATTCAACTTGTGATGTGTACTACATTGCAACACTAAATTTGAGAATGGAATCTCGAATAGACTTTTATATTAAGATATTAAATTATAACATTGCAAACTGAGTAAGATATGATGACAGAATAATACTTTGACTTTTATCTTTCAATCTGCTCACTCTCAAATTACAAATTATGGTAAGCCATGTCTAATAAAAGTGCCTTTCAAATTATAGAGGCAAGATGTGCAGCTAGACTGAGGAAACCAGAAAAAGTATTTAAATTTTTTATATACCCTTCTGTTAAAATCATATATTAACCTTCTGTGTTATTGGTAATAAAACCTAATGTCCAAAGAAAAAGGGATCTCTACAATTGCTTCAATCAATTTTGTTCCAAGAAAACTTCAGGAAAAACATATCATGTACTCTAAATATTTGCAACAACCGAAAGCTTTTTCTACTGTGAGTTTATTGAGGAAAATAACTGTTCTGTCTTCCGAAAACTTTCCTAATGCAACACACCCTTAGTACATGCTAGGAAACTGTGTATCTAAGTGAATAAATATACACCACCAAACAGATTGAGCCGTGAAACTAAAATGAGCTAGATGTGGATGACTCGACAGAAAGCTCTGTGGGGCACGACCCACTGATACAGTAATAGCAGTATGTTTTCTTTGAATTAACCCATGAAGAATAAAAGCTGCACAACACTAGATGTTATTTCACCTCACGCTGAACTGTCATTTTTTAAATTCTCAAATGCCTTGCTTTAAAATCATCACACCATTAAGTTCTTTTGTGTGTCCAACATTTATATAAAAATGCTAAATGTAATTATAAATGAGGCACAGAAAGATCAGC